ACGGTACCCACTTCCGACGTCCCGTTCACTCGCAATTCACTTCTATTAGCGACACGAGAAAGAGAGACAGCGATTCGAGATTTACGAAACGTTAAACCGCGTGAGTTCGCAACGGAAGGTAAAAGGCGCCCGAAGTTGACTACTTCTCGAAGACGCGCGCGCGCGCCTCGCAAAAGGTCGTTAATTTCGCCCCTATGACAAAAAAACAAAATTCCGCCACGCAGGAGTTGTGCGCGTTTACATCTTTCCGACGACACCAATTTCAAAAGAATCGGACCAAAACTGTAGTAGAAGATAGGAAAAAACTGAAAAACCTTCACGTTAGTATACTACGCTCGAGGATGACGCCCAGATGTCGCCAACCCCACATCATGTAGCCATGTCCCTAAGGTTGACAAATTTCACGGCCCTGTAGATACACGTACACCCGTTGCCTTTCTGCAAGAGTTCTTCTACGCGCCCACATTTGCTGCCAGCCAGCCAACCAGCCAGCCAGCCAAAGTGAGATTAAAAGCTACTTTTTACAAATAAATTTGCAAAAATGCGCTAAAAATTGTTTAGACTCGTAAAAGTTATGGTAGACTTTTAATATTCATTCAAATCAGCCTGCGTTGATTTTTGTTACAAACATGAGTTCAAAAGTATTGGATGCCGATGAAAAAAATCAAAGTAGGCTCATTTGTATGACAGTTGAAAGTCTTCCTTAACTTTTAATTCTAAGCTAAGTAACTACAGTTTTGTTATGTCCGCTAAAATAGAGACAGTAAGACTAATTTTTAGAATCCGGCAAAAAATACCCTGTATATTAATTGATTTGACTAATTTTTTTCAATATAGGTGTTAGTTTGATACTAAGCAGGAGTGATCGTCAGAACTTGAAGAATCCAGCTCTGAAAAAATGTGTCATATACACCTTATATGCACTCAATCCGTGGACATACTGTATATCCCAAATACCAATTATAAATATTTGAATTATAGAAGACAAGCGTTCAACAATGTTTTAATATTTGCTTCCCAGCATTAATGTAATTTATTAGAATTACTAATAGTAAATGTCGTAATTAATATTGAATCTATACGTATCACAAAGTGTGGACATCAATTACTAATCTTTCTTTTTTTTCAGGTTAGTGTTCCATCTCTGTCGTAGCAGACCGCGGTAAGGGAAAGGAAGTGAAGAGCGCGTTGGAAATTTTTTGAAAAATAAAGCTTCAAAGGTATTGCCAATACGACTCCGCAAAACATGTACATAGATGCTTATCATTTCTAAACGGTTTAGGACAGACAAGTCATGGAGTTTTTGGTGGGAAATTTAGTCCTCTAGAAATTTCTTTACGTCTCTTTACGATTTCCTGGCGTTTTCATTCGCGCGTTTTCCGTAATACAGTACAGTACAGTCAATCTGGCACGAAAAAGTGTCGTTTTTGGAAAAAAATACCGTAGAACTTTCCGAGGAACTTTCTCAAAATTGCCCCACGGTATACCATCCCGGATTTTTGGAGTTGAGCTTTTCTAAGAACGATTTATGCAAAAAAAAGTTATAAGGTATTTTTTCCACAAATTTGTGCCAGATTAACTGTACTAGTA